AGAGCTGAGACCTGAACCCGTGCCACGTGTGCCCTCATGCCAGGCCCTCTCTCCTCTCCAGAGGGGCGTGGAAACAGCCCCCATCTGTCCCAGCCCTGGCCCCTCTGGAGCCAGCCGGGGCCGGCCTGCAGCGGGAAGAGGGAGTCGCTGGGGAGGTAACTTTTAAGCTGTCTCATCAGGCGCAGATGAAGACGGCTTTCCAAGCCTGTAATTATTATAATCAGGTGTTTTGTAGAAATAAGACCTCGGTGAGGCACCAAATTGGAAATAAGGGATTAAATTAAACCCATGATTTCAAATGAGACAAAACGGACTTGGCTAGTTTGAGGGCAATCAGCATCTTCCTCACTCTCATTTGTCGCCGTGGTAATTACTGCCCGAGGACCAAACAGCTCGCAGCAGGCTGAGGGCACACGCGGGGGCTCCCGGGAGGGCTGCCGGGCCCACAGCCCTGGCTCTGGAAGCATCGAAGCCCTAGGGCGGCGGGCCAGTGGCAGGGCCTGCATCGGCTCCAAGTCAGAAGTTAGCAGCGCCGAAGCCCTCGGGAGCGCCTGGACATCCCCTTGGGGCTCGGCCCCGGAGCAAAGTGGGCCCTCAGCTGGGCTCAGGGGCATGTCACGGACCATGCTTGTCCCTAGGGTACAGGACAGGGAGATAATATCCTCAGAAGAAAGCCTCTTTCCCAAAGAGAAGCCATGGCTAAAACAGAGGCACGTGGCTCGGCCCCTGCTGGGGGCCAGGCCGTCCCTCGGGCGGCTGTGGCTTTTCCCCGGGCACAGCCTTTTGGAGAACAAGCATTCGGGTGCAGGGGTGGGGTGGGGTCCCCCAGGTGCTTCTGCTGCCAGGGCCTGGCTGATGCTGCAGACCCCCTACCCCTAGCCTCGCACACAGTTTCTCTGGGCAGGAACTGCCCTGGCCATGTCAGAGCCAGCCTGGGTTTTGCAGGGGCTTCTGGGCCAGGGATGGGGGAGGGCTCTGGTGTCACAGGTGGGGCAGGAGCACTCCAGGCTCTCCTTGCCTACTCCTGGGTCAGAAACGCCACCATCACAGGGGTGGCTCACCGCAGCGTTGCCCGGGGTCTTCCCCAAATACAAGGAGCCTGCAAGACATAGGCTGCCGACGTGCGCGTGTGCATGCGTGTCACCCGCACCCTCCACCGGTCACAGAGGGCCTTCCTAACTGTCCCGTGCAGCATTCATCACAGGGGCCTGGCGGCAGCTCTGTGAACCCAAGGGGCTCTGCTCCGAGCGCCTGGAGGGCAGGGCCTGGGTGAGCCGTGCCAACCTCTGCACCACCAGGCTGGACCCTGAGCGGGAGGCCAGAAATTAGAGTGGAATAAATGAATTGCTCCTGGCACTCTGAGAGACAGGACACCATTCAAAGCCACCACTGACCAAGTGCAAGTCTGCCCAGCGCAGGGTGTGCTGTGGCCCATTACAGCCACACACAGAGACTCTGGCTGAAGGGTTTCACACGTGTTCGTGGGCCAGCAGCTGGTACAGCTGGCTGAGGTTAAGCTTTACGGGTTGGGATGGGGGTGCTCCTCTTTGCCAAAGGGGGACCACTGGAGACGACAGCTTTGAAGGGATGCCTTGGGGGCTGTGTGGGAGCGCAGAGCCCAGGGAGGCACCTGCTTCCCTGGCAAGCGTCAAAGGCACTGCGAGTTCTGTGCACAGGCATTTCGTGGGCACCGCTGAGGGGCCAGCCCCCAGTCCCACCCTGTTTCCACCATGACCTTGAGAAAGCTCTGGAAACACATGGGTGAGGTGGGGTTGGCGGCTGGGCCGGCTGCTCTACGTGGGTTCCAGCAGCTACGGCGAGGCCTGCTCTCCACGGGGTTCTGTTTTGTGTTTCGTTTCTGTTCTGAGCATTCAGAAATGGCGCTGGCTTGCCAGGGAAGGGTTGGGGGCCTGTGTGTGTCCTGGGCCCTGTGCCAGCCTGGAAGGCCGCCCTCCCCAGGCCAGGGGCTCCAAGGCTCCCCCAACGTCTTGCATGGCTCTCGCCCACCAGAGTGGGACCCATGTGCTGCCGCTCAGCCCCTCCCAGGCCAGGCTAGGGTTGAGTGGGGCCTCCCTGGAGCAGGACCCTCTGGCAGTCAGGTGACTCCACCCTTTCCTCAGTGGGACAGGCGACACTGGCTTCTTATTCAGGCCATTTCACCCAGTTTTGACGCAGTCCCCCTGCAGCCAGCAACCTCGTCTCCATCCCAGCCACACACGGCAGGAGCTCCCCAGGACCCGGCGCAGTGGCGCAGTGGCGCAGTGGCCCAGTGGCGCTGAGGTGCCCACGGCACTCAGCGAGTGTTTGTGGCAAGGAGGGAAAGAACTAGCAACGCCCCACTTTGCACGCGGCCCCTGCGCCTCACGCGGCTGCTGCAGCCATCCCCGCCCTCTGAGCCCCTCCACTCCCACGCCAGGCCCCCAGCCGGGACAGAACATTCCTGCGGCCACTCACCCTTCAGGGTAACAAAGGCAGCTCGTGTCCTGCTGCAGGAACCCGGGCTGAAGGGCAGAGGCGGCAGGGACAAAGGCTGCCGCCCCCTGGGGACGGGCACTGAGGCGGTGAGTGGGAGCCCGGTTCCTGCACTAAATGGCCCCCTCCATCTAGGATGGGGCTGGGCAGGCCAACGTCCCCCAGTCTCCCTGCTCCAGTGTCAACCAAAGCGTGGGCTGGCTCCTCCCTCGCTCTTCTTCCGGTTAACGGACACAGACGCCCCGACTCAGAGCCCCGTGGACCCACTAGGGAGTGTGGGGCAGGGGAGGCGCCTCTTCCTCCTCCGCCTGGGCTGTGCATCTCAGGAAGACCCCAGCCCCATGCCCACCCTGGGGGCCACAGACACAGCTGATAAGGCCCCTTTCCAGGTCAGGGGTTGAAGACAGGTGCTTGTTGGGGGCCGGGCCTTTGCAGCGCTGAGCACCACGCAGAAGGAAACAGAACTCAGTGTTTCCAAAGCCTCTTATCTCCTTGAGACAGAAGCCGCAGGCTGCAGGCACACATCCCGGGGCCTGGGAGGGGATGCCCAGGTCCCCATTGCTGCTGCTAGCCAGCTGGCCAGCCTGCAGAAGCCTGCTACCTCCCCGGGCGGCATGCATGCCAGCTGAAAACGCGGAGCTCGCGTGGGCTCTGACCCCTCGTGTTCTCTGGGGCCCTCCAGGACGCGGCGGCTTCCCGGACAGACCGCTCTCCTCTGGGGTTTCAGAGGAACGGAGCGGCAGACCTCCCGGCTCTGAGTGCTGCTGCTTCTCGCAGTCCCCCAAAGCAGGCCTTGCTACGGGTTCAGCGCACGGCACTGGAAAGCCCAGGAAAAGGTGAGCACGGCTCTTCCTTTTTACAGCATCCAGCTGGCAGAAACTTCTGAAGCTGCTTGCTTCTAGAATGGTCTGGAATATTCTGGAGGCACTTACCCTGCTGGTGCAAACCCCAGCAGCCAGGATGAAGGTAGCCTGGCTGGAAGCCAAGGGCTTGGCCAGCCTCCAGTGGGTTTTGCAGACCTAGCCCTGAACTCCCTCTGGTCTCATTTCTTTAAAACTGAGGACTTTAGTGTTGGTGCTAAAACACCCACAGGCCGTGATGGCTGTCAGCGGACAGTCGCTGGCAATGGGTGGGGGACACTTAGGGGAGAAGGACCACAGCCAAGGTGCCAACAGCTCCCAAGCCCCGAGGCTTGCCCTTGTCTGTGCAGGTGTCCAGAGGGTCAGGGGGTGGGAGAGTGCAGTGAGTGAGCATTCCCTACAGGGCCGGGGCAAACGGAGCCCACACAATGAGCCCAACCAAAGCCATTTGTGGTTCTTTCCCTTCTTGCTACAAATGCTTGTTGAGCATTGTGGGTGTCTTGGTACTGGGTACTAGGGACTCAGGGACACAGGCTGTCATCTGCCCCGATGCTCCCTGAGCTGGGCAGGGGCTGTGTCTTTGGTGGGTGCAGTCCCAGCATCCGCCAGAGAGCAAGGGGAGGAAGGGGAGGTAGGGGAGGTAGGGGTAGGGGGATAGGGGAGGTAGGGGACGTAGAGGGGAGGTAGGGGAGGTAGAGGAGGTAGGGGAGGTAGGGGAGATAGGGGAGGTAGAGGGGAGGTAGAGGGGAGATAGAGGAGGTTGAGGGGAGGTAGGGGAGGTAGGGGAGGTAGAGGGGAGGTAGAGGAGGTAGAGGGGAGGTAGGGGAGGTAGGGGAGGTAGGGGAGGTAGGGGAGGTAAAGGGGAGGTAGGGGAGGTAGGGGAGGTAGGGGAGGTAGAGGAGGTAGAGGAGGTAGGGGAGGTAGGGGAGGTAGGGGAGGTAGGGGAGGTAGAGGGGAGGTAGGGGAGGTAGGGGAGGTAGGGGAGGTAGGGGAGGTAGAGGGGAGGTAGGGGAGGTAGGGGTAGGGGAGGTAGGGGAGGTAGAGGGGAGGTAGGGGAGGTAGGGGAGGTAGAGGAGGTAGGGGAGGTAGGGGAGGTAGAGGGGAGGTAGAGGAGGTAGGGGAGGAAGGGGAGGTAGGGGAGGTAGAGGGGAGGTAGGGGAGGTAGGGGAGGTAGAGGGGAGGTAGGGGAGGTAAAGGGGAGGTAGGGGAGGTAGGGGAGGTAAAGGGGAGGTAGGGGAGGTAGGGGAGGTAGGGAGGTAGGGGAGGTAGAGGGGAGGTAGGGGAGGTAGAGGGGAGGTAGGGGAGGTAGAGGGGAGGTAGGGAGGTAGAGGAGGTAGGGGAGGTAGAGGGGAGGTAGGGGAGGTAGGGGAGGTAGAGGGGAGGTAGGGGAGGTAGAGGGGAGGTAGGGGAGGTAGGGGAGGTAGGGGAGGTAGAGGGGAGGTAGGGGAGGTAGAGGGGAGGTAGGGAGGTAGGGGAGGTAGAGGGGAGGTAGGGAGGTAGGGGAGGTAGAGGGGAGGTAGAGGGGAGGTAGGGGAGGTAGAGGGGAGGTAGGGGAGGTAGGGGGGAGGTAGGGGAGGTAGGGGAGGTAGAGGGGAGGTAGGGGAGGTAGAGGGGAGGTAGGGGAGGTAGAGGGGAGGTATGGAGGTAGGGGAGGTAGGGGGGAGGTAGGGGAGGTAGGTGAGGTAGAGGGGAGGTAGGGGAGGTAGAGGGGAGGTAGGGGAGGACCTTCCAGAAATAAAGCCACACTCCTGTGCTTCCTACAGTGACTGGGAAGTGTGAGGCTCTGGGTGGGGTGGCTGCTTCATGGCCAGACGGCTCTAGTGGAGACCTGGAACCCGAGTGGGAGCTGCTGCTCCTGCCCTAGAAGCACCCTGAACGCCGGGCCCTGCGTGCCCAAGTCCTCCGGCAGCAGCTGCCCCTCAGCATTCACAGCTGAACGGGCAGGGCCAGGGAGGGGCCCGGAAGTGATGCATCTCATTCCTGGGAGGGAAAGCACGGGCTCAGGTCCCTGGCCAGGCAGAGGAGAGGTGGCTCTCGGAACCCAGGCTTCCTGAGGCCCAGGTCAGGGCCCGCTGCTCTGGGTCAGACTCCCAGGATCTCTAGGAGGGCAGTCAGGCACCCAGGCGGTGCAGGGATGCAGCCCGGCGCCTTCTCTGATGGCTCAGCTGGCTCTGGGCGCCACGGGCCAAGGTTCCCTGTACGGCTGGTGCTGCCCAGGGAGGGATCCTCCTGGCACAGAGTGCTAGGCGCGCTGGTGCCCTGCTGGTCCGTCCGGGCCCCACGAGTCCTTTCTCCACACACGGTGCCAGGTTCCAGGAGAACCAGGCCATGGGCTCTCGGGACCCAAGGTCACTCAGAGGACCTGGGGTGGGGCGGTTGATGGTGATGTCCCTATCTGGGCAGCCTGAAGCACGCCCACTTCACCCGCCAGGGGCCAGGAGGGCCACCCGCAGGGCAGCCCCTTCAGCCTCACAGTCTGGGTGCCGCCAGACAGAGCAGCAGGATGGGGCGCGGGCCGCCACTTCCCTCCCCTGCAGCTCGCCCTGGCAGCGTCTGCCTGGGGCCGAGAGTACACCCCCTCCCCCAATTCTGTTTTCTCTGCTGGGTGATGAGCTCATGCAGATACCCAGTCATGCACAAGGTATGGGAGCTGTGCATCACTGCCACCCAAGGATCTAGGCCATGGGGCTGTCTGTGCCCCAGCCACAACCCACCTGTCCAAGAACTCAGAATCCCCTCACTGGCCCTTGAATGGTCGGGACAGTGAGAGGGAGAGATGGTTTCGATAGTGTCGGATGATTTCATGGCAGCAGCCATAGGTCTGCTTGGACTTCAGAGCTGCAAAGACTGGACAAGAGAACAGAGGCAAGCCCGGGGCTGCCCCGCTCCAGCCTGCCAGAGTCACAGGTCATCCCACATTCCAGCACCCGGGTACCAGATGCTGCCACAGACAGAGTCTGTGGACACCCAGGCGGGGAGGGGGCAGGCGCTCCAGGGCCCCAGGTCTGGGCAAGCTCCCTGCTGGCTGCAGCCTGGGGCGTGGCTCTCGCTAATGCAATGAGCACACTGGAAGCACCAGCACAGGCACCTGCACTGCAGGCTGCAGGGCCCTAACTGAGAGAGGTCAGGCCAGAGAGGCCCCTGGAGCAGCCCATGACAATCGGTGAGCAGGGACCCAGGCCTGCTGTGTGTGCCTGCGTGTGTGGGGTCCCTGGGAGGAGCAAGCCTTGGGGTCCCCCAAAGGGGCCCTGGCTGGTAAGTTTTAGTTGGCCTCCCCGCCCCCAACCTGGCTTTGTTGCCACTGCAGTGGCTCCGAGGCGGGGCTGCCAGCTCCTAGGAGAGCCCGTGCAATGCCCTGGGACCTGCTGCGCCTGCCCGGGGGCTCCCCTGCCCGCACTTTTCCACTGGCAGCCAGCAGGAACACCTGTTGCCTCGCTCCCACATCTCCCTGGCTGACTTATTCCCCAGCAACAGCCCAGCGTGGCCTGGAAGTCAGCGCTTCCCCATGGCCCCGACATCTACACAGTGGAAAGTTTGGTGCTAATCACCCTCCTGGGGAGCCCTCCCCACCTCCAGGGGAGGCAGCTGCTCCCCGGGCATGAGCGCTGGCTGGGAAGTGGGGGCACTTAGGAGGCTCTGGGTGACCCTGGCCCTGCCTCAGGCCCAGGCTTCTAGGGGCTGGGTGGGGGGGGCCCTGCATGCACAGGTGAGAGCCGCAGGCCCAGGCAGAGGGTGGGGACACGAGGGAGGGGGCACGACTGCAGGGCTCTGATGGGGGGAGGGTCGGATGGGCTCCCTGTGGGTCCCCACAGTCAAAGAAATCCTTCACATGTAACCACCATGGAGCTGCCCTGAGGGGAACCCTGAGAGCACCAGGCCCGGGGGGTGGGGGGTCTGGGGACCGCAGCTGAGGTCCTGAGGCTCCGCGGCTGGGATCCCTCCCCCCTGACCCTGACACACCCTCATCTGGCCTCAGCTTCAGCCTGTCCCTAGGTGGGGTAGGGTGCAACTGTGGGAGGTGCTCTCTGTTCTGGAGCTGACCGCTTATCACTCAACACTGAGAGCAAATGTCTCTTTCTCTGTCTCTCTGCCTTTCCAGTAAAAAATTAAAAACGGGGGAGGAGGGAGTTGTGTTATGGCATAGCAGGTAAAGCCACTACCTGAAATGCTGGCTCCCATATGGGTGCTGGTTTGAGTCCCAGCTACTCCACTTCTGATCCAGCTCCCTGCTAATGGCCTGGGAAGGCAGTGAAGAATAGCCCAAATGCTTGGGCCCCGGTACCTGGAAGAAGCTCCTGGCTCCTGGCTCCTTGGCCCAGTGCTGGCTGTTGGGGCCATTGTAGGAAAGAACCAGTGGATGGAAGATCTCTCTCTTTCTGTCTGTCCCTCCCTCTCTCTCTGTAACTTGACTTTCCAAATAATGTTTTTTAAAAAAGAAAACAAAAATGAAAGGAAGCAGTGGAGTGGAGCCACAAGAGGGCTGTGGGGTTTACAGGGAGCTCGGGAAAGCTCGGTGCAAGGAGCACTCGCGGCTGCTGGCCGGAGACGGCTCAGGCCCCTGGAGGCAGGGGCTGTGGGGCTCATCTCTGCCTCCCTGACACCTGGTGGTCCCTGGGACCTGGCAGGCATACTCACTAATGCAAGTCACTCCAGCCCCTGGCACATCCTGGGGGCACTCAGCTGATGTGGAGTGGGTGTCAGCTCCCAGGCCTGCCCCAGCCGCCTCCTCTGTTCAGCCCAGAATCTACCCTGAGAACCAGCGTGGAAACTACCTCTGGGCCCACTGCGGAAGGGCTGTGGGGGTGGTGGGAATGAGGGTGCTCCCCTAGCCAGGACAGCAGGCACGGCTTCCAGGCGGCACCCCTGAGGCTACCGAGGGATGCAGCCTGCATCTGGACTCCACTGGTGAATGCCGGACGCCGAGCAGCTGCCGGGACGACGCCAGGCCGGCCACAGCACTCCCCACAGCCCGAGCCTCCCCAGAAAGGAGGAGGATGGGCCCTGCTGGAGCTGCACACCCTAGGCCCTCCTGCTCCACCCCTGCTGCAGCTGGAGGGAGCAGTTCTCTGGACAACCCCGGGGCCTGAATCCTGCCGCTGTGGGTGGGGTCATCCTGGTGCGCTGCAGGTGGCACAGCCAGAAGTGACAAGACACTCTGCAACAAAGGGAGGGCTGGAATGCAAAGAAGCAAGTCTGGGTGGGAGGCGGGGTCAGGGACCTCACAGGCCAGCAGCCCTGCCGATGGCCTTGGCCACTTCCTGCACACACCGCACAGCAGTCCTGGATGCACCAGCACAGCCAAGGCTGCGATCCAGCGAGGGCGAGAGAAGCAGGCCCTTCGCTCAGAAACTGGGCCTCTTGCTCCGGGAGCTCTCTCCTCAGGGCCCCCAGATGCGGGCTGGGGAACCGTGTGGCGGTGCAGAAACGGATGCACTCCTGAGGCTGGAGCCCTGGGCAGGAGCGGAGGCCCAGCCTGGCACATTCTCTCCCACACGGTTGCGTGCCTATCATTTGCCACTCAACGTGGAATAAATCAGCATCGAGATTAGAGCCGTTCCCTCCAAGCCGCGAGTCAGCGCCGTGGGGATGAGCCCCACCAAGCGGCCGCTCCCCTGCGCCAAGCTGAGTAATACGCGAGGCCGCCTACCGTGCAATGGTTCACGGCTAACAAGCACATCCTTAGCTTTCCCAGGAGCCAGATGCCCAGGCAGGGAGCTCGGAAACGGTCCCTGGGGGCTTAAACAATGACTTGGAGGAGACAGGGACACTGGAAGGCACCCGCAGATACTGCTCCTGTGGCCACCTGCTCTCCGGCTCCTACTGCAGGCACCGGGGCCCATACAGCGCCTGCCGACAGCCAGAGGTGACCTGTCCTGCGGGCTCTGGCTGTCCCCCGGAGCTGAGGGGTTCAGCACCCCGGAAGCCCATGGGGACCCTTCCCTGCTTTGCTTTGGTTTCTCTCAAGGGGAGGGGAGGGACAGGCCCACGGGGGTGCCCACACCCCTCCTCGTCGGCCCCTGAGGCCTCTCCGCTCCACACACGATTCTCACAGCCACTCTGTGCCAGGGGGAGGGGGGCACAGGGGCTCCAGGCGAAGCTCCCGGACAGGGCAAGTGCTGAGGGCCACGTGTGGCCCCTGGGCGAACCTGCGAGGTGGGAATGTTCACTTCTGTGCTACAGAGATTAAGTGAGAGAGCCGAGTCACCCCCACTGCCAGTGTCTGGTGAGGGCACAACTCAAGCTCGGCTCTCCCCCTCCCTGGCCTGGGCACCCTGAGCTGTGCTGCCTCCCCCGCTCTGCAGCCGCTCCGTCTCCTCCTGGATGGCAGGCGAGCTCCCTCAGATCTGTGCATGGCCAGCGCCCTCTGTCCCGGGAGTCAGGGCTGGGGTGGGGGTGGGGGTCCTCTGCTCGTGTCCGCCGCGCCCCCTGGCTCTGCCTCCCCTCCCACCCTTTGGATGCAGGGCTCCCGAGGGAAAAACGCCCTGGTCGGCAGCACTTGTCTTTCCACCATCCACATGCCCCTCCCACGGCTGATGTGAACCTGCCAAGGGGAGCCACTGCAGGTGGGGCTGCGGAGGGCTGAGCAGACGGGGCTGCTGGCTCCGGCACGCACCGCTGCATCTGCTGGCTGCCAGGGACGGCGAGGCGCCAGCCCCGGAGCAAAGGGACAGAGCGGGCACAGGAGATGCTGGGGCGGCGACAGACCCGGCCCTGTCACACAAAGCACACCGCGGTCCTGACAGTGCTGTGTTGAGGACACAGGGAGGGAGAGGAGGGGTGCGACTCGTTGTGGGAGGCTTAATGCGTTCTTGAGACACCCTCAGAACACTTGCCACACCTGCGAGTCGGGGACGAGGGCTTGGCCTCCTCCCATTCAGTCTCCAAAGCTCACCCAGCACCCCCGCTCTCGGAGCCCATTTCCCTACAGCCGATTTTCCTGTAAGCCAGCCTGTGTCCCCTGTCATGCTTGCTGGTGGGTGTGTGGGCGGGAGCAAGGAGCTGGAGGGGGCTGCTGTCGGCAAGAGGGGTGGGACTGGAGCTGGCTTTCTTTAATCATTGCCAGGCAGAGGCAGATTTGTCACCTTTGTGTGAGATGCCAGGCAGCAGGTAAAGAACTTAACAGCTTGTGGGAGTTCTAATTAGAGAGCCAATTATAACTCCATTGACCTGCCTTGCTTTGAGAGGCCTGGAGAAACACACTGTCCTTAGGAGGAGGCCGGTTTTGCTTCTGGTTTGTTCTGGGAGATTGCTGCAGGGGTGGCTCGCTTGCACGTTGGTTCCAGCCCCAGGCATCTGTCTGGATCCAGCAGCGGGTGCTGAGGATGAGCGACCCTGCGGGGCCCTGCGTCCCTGCAGCTCGGCTCCTCTGTGTCTGGAGAGAGACACACGGGCTCCCCACGGGGCAGGCCAGCAGCTTCATCTGGAAGGGCGATGGCCAGCGTTTCAGTGAAGGACCGATGACCACTGACCTCTTGGCGAGGCTGCAAGCCAGACTTATTGTACATGCGTCAGAACCTGTCACTGCTGTTAAAGCAGCTGAGAGAATCCTTCCTCCAGGAGCCAGGGCACGGCATGCGCCCTGTACACCTGCGAACTCCCTGGGGCTCATACACATGCCCACACCTACACCCAAACCTGTGCTCTCAGCCAGGCCCCACCCCCAGTAGGCAGGGCTGGCTGGGGCGGGGGTGGACGCCGACGTCCCCTCTCACTGGGAAGAAGCCAGGCTCAGCAAAGCGCAGCACATGCCCCACAGCCCCTCCCTGCCTCCGGCACTCTTCTGCAGGTGGCTTTGTGGACACCACGGAAGTCGCTGCTGGGAACAGGGCCTGCTGCAGCCGCAGGCCGGGGGGCAGAGTGGGCTGTTACACGTGTGGCAGAGCCAGGCCCCAGCCCAGCCGCAGCTGGATGTAGAAACCTGCTCCCAAGATCAGAACCTGAACATCGGCTGCTCTCCCTGGGCTACTGGCCTCGGCCTCCTTTCTTTTCTTCTTCTCTGGGATTTATATCCCAGGCACTCTCGTCTCCCCTCTGCTGCCACTGGTGGATGCTGCTTCCCCCGCCCCCCAGCCCACGTGGCCACATGCTGTGGGCCATCTCTTCCAGGCCGGCCCAGGTCACCCCTCTCAGCACGACCACTCAGGCCTCCCAGTATCCATCCCAGAGCCGGCCCTCCTCCTGTGCCCCTCTGGCTGAAGGCATCTTGTCTGCCCAGGCACTAAAGCTGAGGCCTGGGTCAGCCAGCCCTTTACTCTCCTTGCCAAGCGTGGGCGGCCCACACGTTTCCTGTAGCAGAGCCCTCGGTAGGTCGCACAAGCCCCTCAGTCTGCCCTCCAAAGCTTCCAGAGTGAGCTCTCCCAAATGCAAGGCTGATCGCATCAACTCACTGGTTTAAACTTGATCATGAAAAACCTCAAGCCTGCAGCCAAGAAGCAAGGCTAACACCACGGACAGCTGTGCACACTCATCCCCGCAGCATGGCAACCGTGAACCTCTGTCCTCTCTGTGTCATCAGCGTTGGGGGTGAGGGTCAGCGTGCTCACAGCAGTTTACAGACATGGGGAGGTTTCACCCCGGAGTACTTCAACTAAGGACGTTTTCTCACCCAACCACGGCGCCATAGCACAGCTAGACACCAAGCAGGACTTCCATGCCACCATCTGCCACCCGTCGCCAGCTCATGTCTCCAGCCGTGCGTGGTCTCGCCGACAGCTGGCTTATTACTTCACATTCATCTGTCCCTGGACTTGAACGAGAGCCTGAACCCGCACTGTGTTGCTAGAACACGGCCCGCAAGCTCCGGTCACGCGTGCGCTGCACCAGCTGCCTGTCAGAGGCCCCAGCTTATGGGAGCTCCTGCCCCTCCCTCTGGACGGCAAGGCAGTGCCAGAGGGGAGGCCAGGGTCACGTCTGTGTCCCCAGCACCGAGTCTGGCACCCAGCACACAATGAGGCCCCCGCCGCCTGCCTGTACCGTCGCGTTAATCCTTCCACGCTCAGCAGGAGACGGGCTCCCTGAGTCAGCAACGAGGGACTGAAGGACCGCGCTTGGAGGGGGAGCGGGAACAGCACTGCCACCACACAGGTGCTCACGCCCAGCCTTGCGCAGGACTGATCCGTGACGTTCGGAAATGCTCCCAAGGCGTTCCTGCCTTGGCTCTGTTAGGACCTGCCGGGGGCCCAGAGGTTGGACACTCAGTGATCTGGGCACATCTGTTGTTCCTTCCTCCCTCAGAAGACCTGGCCCTACCCCTTGGCAATAGGAAGGGTGCCCCGGGTGAGCCTGGGGACTGCGTCTGCGCTCAGAAATCAGCATGGCAGGAGGGAGACTTCCAGGTCGGCAGAGAGGCAGGAGGACAGACTTCTCCCAGGAGGATGGGGCGGGGCCCAGCAGGCGCTGCCTGGGGAGGGGCCCGAGAAGTCCTGCCCCCCATCACAGCAGGGGGCCAGTCCCGGGGGAGGGGGCAGGGTCTGCCCTGCAGCAGTCCAGAGAGCTCTTTCACATCCACCTCATGAAGCCACTGCTACTGCCCCATTTCACAGGCATGGAACCTTCAAAACTGAGAGTCAGGGGTTCACGTGGGTCTTTCCTTCCCCTGTCTGGCCTCAGTTTCCCCATCTGCAAAAGGAGTGCTTGAGGAGTGGCACTGTGGTGTAGTGGGTAGAGCCGCTGCCTGCAGTGCCAGCGTCCCATACGGGCTGGTTCAAGTTCCGGCTGCTCCGCTTCAGATCCAGCTCTCTGCTATGGCCTAGGAAAGCAATAGTGGATGGCCCAAGTCCTTGGGCCCCTACATCCATGTGCAAGATCTAGAAGAAGCTCCTGGCTCCTGGCTTTGGATTGGCTCAGCTCCAGCCTTTGCGGCCATTTGGGGAGTGAACCAGCAGATAGAAGACTTCTCTGTGCCTCTGCTTCTGTAACTCTGCCTTTCAAATAAAAAAAAAAATAAGTAAATTAAAAAAAGGAGTGCTTGGTTAGGGAATTAAAATGGGATTCTAAACCCACAACACCTGGCGAGCATTAGGCCTGAGGGTTTCCATCTGCATCTTTTTTTTTTTAATATTTATTTTATTTATTTGACAGGCAGAGTTACAGAGAGAGGTAGAGACAGAGAGAAGGAGAGGTCTTCTGGGACCAGCTCTCAGCGATGGGAAAGCAATCGAGATGTGAGATGGGCTGAACCTGTAGGCCAGGTAGGCCCCACATGCCACCTTTCCAGGCTGGCTGAGGTCAGAGGCTGCTGGGGAAGCCAGGGAGGGGCACAGCGGAAGAGGAATCTGCAACCTTCCGGGTCTGAGACACAGAAAACCCAGGAAAGTGAAACCTAGCAGCCAGATCCAATCCAGGGAGCACGGACCATGGCAGAGCCCAAGTGTCAGCTCTGGCTGGAATCGTGGGGCAGATTTTCTAAGGATAAATGGCTTGGATAGAGTAGGTCAGATTCTTCAATGATTTTAGATTATAATTACTAATGAGAGACTGAACTGCACAGCCCATAATTAGTCATCCAAGACTCCAAAACCAAAAATGAAATAAACACAGAAATCATTCTGTCTTTAGGCTGCAGGGAAAGGAACGCCTGGTGATACCAGGCGCCATGGGGCTTGTGCTGCGGGGCCTGATGGCGTCTGTGCATCTGTCCTGGCAAGGGCAGAGTGGCCGATGCCTCCCTGCCCAGCACGGAGACAAGTTTGGCGGCAGAGGGATGCCCAAGCCAAGGAGAAGCAGCTGCCGGGAGCAGCCCCACAGTGCAGGAGGGGGCACGCACAGGAGCCACAGCCGAGCAACGGTCACGTGGCTGCAGAGCCAAGTCCTCCACTCCCAGGGATGTGCTTTCTGCTGCAAGGAGGACACACGTGCCCAGCAACCAGAAGAGAGCGCCAAGGTACAAACAGGCAGTTTCAAAAGGATGCGAGGTGCTACGGCAGAAGTGACCCGTTCTACCCCAGGCGGCTGCCAGTGCCTCCCGCTCAGTCCTCTTTGCTGGGTTTGCACCCCTGACTGCAGCCTCCCCCACTGCCTGAGTCTGGTCATGGCTACCGCGATCATCCAGTGGCCAGCGTGGTCCACCCTCTGACCCGGATGTGAAACGACGGTCTTGGTGCCGTGGAAACACGGACGTCAGCTACAGCAGAGGAGGGGGTATAACCGCAGCTGCGTGGCCTGGACCCATGAAGGCTGCCACACCAACACGTGCGACTCAGTGCCTCCAGCCACCCAATGGGGCCACAGGCCACTTCAGCTTCCCAGGTAACTTCCCTGTGGGGCAGGCCCGGGGACTGGCATCTGGCCCCAGGGGAGGGCTTCTGTGGGGAGGGCACGCACAGGTGGCACAGGAATGTGTCCTTCCTCTAGGTGAGCATTCTGGGGGCTGGGCGGCCCTGAGTCTCTCATGAGCATTAGTGCTCTGAGCAACTCCGCAGAGGGTGACCCCATCTGAACTGAGCTGCAGGCTGGGCTTTGAGGCCCACGAGGTGGCAGGCTGCCCTTGGCTGAAGGCCACCCACGGGGCCAGAGAGCAAGGAGCCTGGGCAGACCACTGCAGGGCCCCTGGGACACTGTCCCACGGCAGTCTCCACTACACTTCCCAAATGTGACAAGGAGGCATGTGCTTGGGGACATCAGGATAGGACGTTGGGGGGCAGTCACTGTCTTCTCCCAGGCTCGGGCCCTGCAGCAGGCGCTGTACACTAGCTGGGGATCTGGCTGTGCCACACACACACATGGCAAAAGCCCTGCCCCACAGCCCAACAGGTACTCCTGAGATCCAGCTGTGAACACACTGACAGCCCACGGCACTAGAGGGGTCTGTGGTCTCACGTGGAACCACGTGGTTGCACCCTCCAGATCAGCCTCAGGGTCTTTCCTGTCTTCATGGCCAGAGAAGACAGTGCCAGGGCCAAAGCACAGATACCCAGAGCTCTTTGCACACCAGGAGAGTTAACCTGGCTATTTAAAACACCATGTAGGGGCCGGCACTGTGGTGTAGCAGGTAAAGCCACCGCCTGCAGTGCCGGCATCCCATGAGCGTGCCAGTTCGTGTCCCGGCTGCTCCACTTCCAATCCAGCTCTCTGCTATGGCCTTGGAAAGCATTGGAAGATGGCCCAAGTCCTTGGGCCCCTGTGCCCATGTGGAAAACCCAGAAGAAGCTCCTGGTTCCTGGCTTCAGACTGGCACAGCTCTGGCCGTTGGCGGCCATTTGGGGAGTGAACCAGTGGATGGAAGACCTCTCTCTCTCTCTGCCTCTCTGAGTAACTCTGACTTTCAAATAAATAAATAAATCTTTAAAAAATGCCATGTAAACCTGGTGCAGTGGATTTAAGGTGTGGCCTATGACGTCAGCACCCCATATGGGTGCTGGTTCAAGAGCTGGGTGCTCCATATTCAATCCAGCTACTTGCTGTGTGCTTGGGAAAGCAGCA